AGCCGAGGATCAGCCCTGGACGCACGTGGCACTCACCAGGCCGAGCTGGCACCGTCGAGCAGAGGGAGGGAGGGAGGTGGTTCCGTAAGTGGCGCTGAACAGTCGGGTCTTCCTGCAGGAAGAGAGTGTTTGCCTCAAACTCGTGTTATACTCAGCAATCGGTTCAACGTGGAGTCAAGAAACAAGTGTGGGGCAACAGATGGCAGAGCAGCTACGTCGCTAGACTCCCACATGACTGACCACGGTTCAAGTCCCGGGCCCAATGGCTTGAAAAGATTCCGGGCACATGCAAATACATGCCCAAGATCCCTGGAGGAGATGAGAGGAGAAAAGGCGGCGGCACGGCCATCCCCACTGGGGGTGACTTCCCACTTTCCCTCTCGCTGTCTCGGTCTTCTCGCTCTCTCTGGCAAACGCACACACCCCAAGGCAAAAACCTCTAAAAAGAGAAGAAGAAATAAATGTGAAAGAAAATTCTCAAAGAATTATAGGAAATTGAAAAAGAACACAAGCAGCTGGCCCCGACAGGCCAGGGGACGCCCTGCCTGCCTCCGTCATGAAAGAAATCTGTCTCCTCTCTGACTGTTTGAAGATGGCCTCTTGACTTTAGCTCCCTGTGGCTCCACGGGAATGTGCCTAGATGCATGTTTACCATCTTGCTTGGGATTAATTGCCCTTCCTGAATCTGCTATTGATACTCGGAGCTGATCAGAACACGGTCTTTCATCTGACTTGGGAAATTCAAACCACTGGGCCTGAGCACGCTAGCCGCCTCATCCCTCCCTCGGCCCGACCCAGAAGCCGACGGAGGCCTGCTGCGCTTGTCAGCCCACACCACCTCTCGGCTTTCCACTCGAGCTTCTCACCTTTCTGTGTTCCTGTCCTCGACTGCTTTTCTCTTTACGTTGTCATTAGTTCTCGTTCTCATGTGTTCGACCTTTTTGTACTTCCTAGTGCTTTCTTTATGCTTTCCATGATTTCATCTATTTCCAAATTAAACACACGTATGTGTATCTCGTCCCCGATAATGTTAACGTCGAACACCGCGCATGGCTCTGCTGTCTGCTGTCCCGGCAGCTCTCGCTTGTCATGCCAAGTTGCTCCCTGAGTTATACTTTTTGAATGAGTTGATATTTATTGGAGCTTCGTCCATGGGGATTCTCTGCCATCTGCACTCGAGGTAGAGGCGTTCCCTTTGGCTTCCGCAAATCCCCAGGGCATTAGTCACCAGCACGACGACACGGAAGCCTCAGTGTACAGTCTTACAGGCCAGGCGGTGGCTGACCAGAGCGGGGTCCTCAGGAGGTGGGTGTTCAGGGCAAATTTTCCTCCTAAATCTTCCTCAGCGTCTAGACAATAGCCACGCAGGCCCCGGGGGCCAAATTTAAAACCCCCTTCACCTCCTACTGCACACCCACGTGCATAGCCGAGGGACACCCCGTTCCATGTGGAGTCCTGGTAACTGGTCTGGAACCCTGAGCTCGCTGTCTCTCCCCTGCCGCCCTAGACGCCCCAGGACGGAAACTCAAATGTCCCTGATAGTCAAATGCTTCCGGGTAGAAACAGGTGCCCTGCTCTTGCCACCTCGTGGGGTTCCAGCAGCGGTCAGGCTCTGACTCCCAGTACTGCTCCCTCTGCACTGAACCCCTCTCCTTTGCTGTTCTGCACTAGCAGTTTTGGTTGTCGTTACGGGGAGAGGTCGCCAGATCTAGCCCAGCACTCTGCCAGAGGAATCCTTTCCTTAAAGTTCCACATCACAAATGCCCCACCTTCGATCTTTGATGGACAAAGCGCCGGTTGTTTCGGGTTGTTCTGAACGAATTGTGAGGCTGCGTCTTTATGAGTCTGTGTCCTCGTTCCTGCAGGGCCGGCCGTCTCCTCCCGCGTGCCGTGCGTGTAGGTACGTGGAGAGATTCACAAATACCTGTGATATTCGACCGTGTGTATGCTGGCTCCTTTTCCCCCAACTGGTTTTCAAAGCTGTCAGACCTACACACGCTTGTGGGACTAGCAAACTGAGCACCCCAGTGCTCACGTGCCACTTGGAGAGCTGCTCCTCCGACGGGCTGCTTACGAGCCATCTTGGGGAGCAGCTGTCACAACACCCCCTCGATTCCCCTGCTGTGTCCGGGAAGCAGAGATCTTCCGCTCAACCGCAGAACTGGAACCGCGACCCGAAATGTCAGAGACGGCGTTCTGCTGCCCAAACTGCAGTTCGTATTCAGAGCTCGGCAACTGCCCCAATGACACCTTTCACAGCTGTTTTCTTCTCCTTTTTCTTTTTAAGTCTATTTACGTATTTCTTCCATGAGTGAGAGAGGGAGAGACAGCACCTCCTACAGGTCTGATGTGCCTCACCCCAGCCCGGCCAGCCGGCTCCCAGGCAGCCACGTACCCAGCGTCCTCAGGGAGGCCGCTGGACCTGAAGGGGAACCTCGGCATGTGGGACCACCTCGCTGAGTGATGCGTTCTGCCACTGCTCCACTGTCTAGCGTCTTCCGAGTTTTCGTTTCCTAATCCAGGAAGAGCAGGCTCTTGAGCACGGATGGCCGTCAGCTGCCAGCTCCGACCCCGGCGGGCCCTGACCGCGCGTCCACTCCCGCGGTACCCAGCGCCCGTGATTACCCTGCAGGCTTCTCGGGCGTGTCCAGACTATTGCTTTCTCAGATGTGACAGGATGCTCACGCCCAGGCAGAACCCGTGTAGGCCGTGCCCCCTGCCAGGGCATCACATCCCGACCCCGAGGTCCTTTCAAAGTGGGGCACTCAGAGAGGTGGCGTCGGGCAAGTTTCTCTCTCCTCAGTAACTAAGAAACACTTCGTGTCGAAACCAGCACGTGAATACCCTCCCCAGAACCACCCTTCTCCACCGGCTTCAGCACCCGGAGGGCGCCTGCCGGAACCAGTCCAGCCGCGCGGCAATGAGGCGCCTTCGTGGGAGCAGTGAGCTCCGTAGGGCTCCCCATGCCTCCCGACTTGTGAAAGGACTCACTGGCCGGTGTGTTCATCTCAGTACGCTCGAGATTACATAGTAAAGACTTCATGAAACTAGTTACCTGAAATTAGGCACTGACTTCTTTTTTAAAAATCTCTTTCACGGAAGAGAAAGACATACAGAGACAGAGACAGAGAGGCAGGCACCCCCAGCAGGCCCCCCAGGCGCTCTCCCCACACACCCACGCAGGAATGGCTGGGACAGGAGCTCAGGATGACGCCGCGGCCCAGTGCGGCACCCCGTCGTTTTTAACCCTGTGCTGACACCGCCCTGCGCCCGGGCTGGCAGCAGGTCCACGGCGCTCGGCCTGGTGGCCCTTATGCTCTGTCTCTAACAACTTTGGACCCCTTCATTCCTTGGCACTCAGGGTCTCCATGCCCTGTCCTTCCCCATCGCAGCTGTCTGTCTGTGGCCCCCATGGAGCCCCGGCCCCACTGTGGTACGTGGTCTGTGGGATCCTCAAGCTGAACCTACATCTGAGACACCCCTTCTCCCTGGGCTTCCCAGAGGCCCTGTCTCAGCCTCTCCCGGCCTCTTCTGAAAGCACCCCGACCCTCCCCCAGCCTCTCCCCGAGTGACGTCCCCACCCCCAAGGCTTCCTGGGAATTTAAACACTGTCAACTCCCAAGGCGCTGCCTCCCCTCCTCACCTGTCTCCCAAGCACCTGCCGCAGACATGTCAAACTCACTCGCTTCACTTCCAATCGAAGGCATCGCCGCCACCCTGTCGCCCAGACTCAAGCATGTCACCTTTCTCCGCACCCAGTGTCTCTCTCCAGCCGCCAGATCCTGTCAGATCCACTCCCTCCAGCCACACCATGGTCACGTCAACACCCCTGCACACCCGGAGGTCCCGGCCGCGGCCCCAGCCAGCTCTCCGCATCAGAGCCACGTCCTCTGGAGGGAACGAGACGGGATGCGGGCCGTCATCCTCTGCCCGATGCTTTGTCACACGTTGCCACCTGCCAACTGGTGACATTCTTAAGAGAAGACAGAGGGGACTTGGGGGTGGCTGAAAGACTCCCCTGGACACCCCTTCATCCAGCTGCGGCTGTGACCCCACATGCTATCTGGGCCCCAAGTTCATCCTGAAGATGACCTGTCCCTCCAGCTTCTCTACCTGGGAGACGCCCCCTTTAACCTTGTGTAAGCCGTGGCTTTGGGGCGGGGGTGGGCAGTTCTCGTCGGCAGCAGCCCCTAGCCCCAGCCGACAGAGCACAGCAATGGCGCAGGTCACCTTGGGAACCGCCACCCGCCGCTAGAAGGAGCTGGCGGCCTTCATCAGCTACAGGACTGCCGCGAGATCCTCTGTCTCCACGAAGCCTGCCCCTTTCCATTCTTCAGCAGCGGGTTCTAGCCACGCTTCAATACCCAGGTCAAACCTCACTGCTACACGAGAGGCTGCCGGGGGCCGAAGGCGAGCTGCACCTGGGGCCCACATGGCAAGTGCGCACCTGCGTGTGAAAACTGCACCTTCAAGAGGATACTCTGATATCTGCGTGCATACAGGTGATTCAGAAGAGCACGCGGGTGCAGGCGCAGGTGTGCGTGCAGGAGAGGTGCAGGCATAAGGCCCAAACACAGGCGCAGGTGTGCGTGCAGGAGAGGTGCAGGCACAGGTGTGCGTGCAGGAGAGGTGTGACCCCAGTAAACCCGAAGAGCAGGTGGAAAAATAACTTCTGGGTAACAGCTACTCAGAGTGTACGCGTGTCCTGAACGTGGCGTGAACACGCGCATCACTGGTCTGCAACTCAGGTCGAACTCCTGCTCTGCCCGTCACAATCTAAGCCATGGCCAGGGCACTAGGCTGGGCTGCTCCGCAGTGACCGGGCACCGTCCCAGTCAGCACCATCCGGCCTGCTGCTCGCAGAGGCCTGGATGGCTGCGGCTCTGTCGGTGAACAGACCAAAGCTCGCGAGACTGCCAGATGGCAAAACTTCTGCCCAACTTGGGCCTCTTGGCTCTTTCACATCTCCGTGGCTTCCCTAGTGAGCCGGGCGGCCTCCCCAAGCGGGGACGTGTGCTGCTCCTGCCCCCTCCCACTCCCGCTAGTTACACAGTTGTTTCCCACACGGGAAGTCGCGGGGTCAGCACGCAGGAGTGCAATGGATAAGCCTCGCCCTGGGAAAACCCCCTCGTGACCACGGTGTCTCCCCTGCCAGATGAGCATCCCCTGCATGGTTTCTCCCTGGGAAGACACCTCTCTCATCCCACAGTCCAGGTCATCAGGTGAGGCCCCATCCCAGGTTGGGGGGACCTGCGTGTCTTGAACCCTGGCCACACATCAGCTTATTAGCTCACTGCATAAACTTAAGACGGACCAAATGGAGAGGACCATAATATTCTGACTAGAAATTACTGAGAGAGGTCTCTTTTGGGTTTCAATTTGATAAGCCTGGAGAACGGGTGGCCATCTTACCACCATAGGGGAAAGTGTACCTGGGGGTTAACCATCAAAGAGGAAAGCAAAGCAATGAGAGAGAGAGAGGATTATTACAAAGTAATCTGAACACCTGGATCCAGCCATGCCTGAAGTCCAGTAGCCCTGGACTTCTCAGTACATGGGCAAGTGCATTTTCTAATTTCTTCCACCCAGGTTTAGTTAGATCTCTGCTACTGGCCTACAAAAGGGTCCTAACACCTGCTTCCCAATTTAAATGTCAATCTTCTGAAACACACCTTAGGCAGAAATTTTGCAAAACTTTTTTAAACACACACTAGGTGCTAGGCACTGTGAGGAGCACGGGGGATCCAGCAGGGAGCATGCCCTCTGCCCTGGCAGAGCTGATTTTAACAGCCAACCCTCGGCATGGTTGGCCGTGCTGTCTGCTCCAACAGAGAGGACGTTCAGAAGGCCACACTCCGGTCCTTCATGTACCCACCATGTCGGAATCACAAAGACCCCACTCTCCAGGTGACACTGGCGCCTCTCGGCAGAGAGCAGGACCAAGCGAGGCTGCATGGTTTACTAGAGAGCCTGCATTTCCTGTGTCTCCCTGCACTCCAGGGAGAGCCAGCTCCCAGCCACTCGCGGCCCGCCAACCTCCGGGCCGAGCAGAGCGAGCAATCAGCCATCTTGCCTCAAGCACACGGACTTCGCAGACACGGGCGGGCAGTGCGTCCTCCCTATCCCCAGATTTCCATCCTGAGGGTGGGAGTCAATAAAAACTAATTAGACGTTCACCTCATTTCCTTGGCAATGACCCCACGTGCCACTGATCGTGGCGCTGAATCTATAGGCAGGCTCCCTCCACGGGGCTAGGGCTTCTTTCTGCATCACAAAGAAACGTCACGGGTTATTCTTAGCCAAGGCCCGCTCTGCGGACTCGGGAAGCTCATTCCCGCAGGAGGAGGAGCAGGGAACTAGGTGTGCGGCAGCCATCAGCCGTAATGAGAGGGACACCTAACTCCCAGCCTCATTTTAGAATTTGTTTATTTAATAATGCGGTAACACTGCCATGTTAAGTAGCGTTGCCTTCGGCCTCGTTAAATAATCTCCTTACCTATCATACTGGAAAACTAGCATCATTAGCGAACGCCATTTGTCATGGCTGCCATGTCAGCGTTACAGAAGGTCCCGCACCGAGGAATTCACTAGTAAACAGGGTGCACATGCACAGCGCCAGGGAGACGATCCGGTGTGGAGAGTCCCTCGGGAGCGAGAACGAGAGCCCTCTGGGTCATTAACACTCGGGGAGAGCACTGGGCAAAAGGCGTGCAGCGCCGTGGTCTGCCCCTTGTTAGCTGGCCGCCGGGCCCGGTCCCAGAATGGCCGTCAGCATGAGATGTGGCAGCGGACGAGCGAGACTCAACAGGTCGACGTGTCAGCGTCCCCCTCAGAGCAGCAAGCCGCAGACACCCGGATGGTGCATCCGGATGGTTACACCGTCGGCAAACATGGCCACTCCTGCTTGCCTTTTGTCACCTTGTTCTCAGCTTCAGTCGGCAGAAAAACGTGCCTCCACGCGGCCCATGTTCTAACCCCCCAAATCTATGAATACCGTTTCCATGGCAATGAGGAATGGATGCCGCCAGGTGCGGACCTGGAAGTAGGGAGCACACGGGACCATCGGGGGCCACGTGATCACAAAGTCCCCAGCCAGGACAGGGGAGGGAGCATTGCCTCAACATCACAGCAGGGCACCAGCTCAGCCATAGCACATGGGACTTGGCCCACCACTGCGGGCTTGAAGCTGAAAGGGGCCAGGAGGGAACGCTGGAGAAGCCCAGGGGACGGGCCCTCGTGCAGGGCCACCGGAAAGGAGCCAGCTGGCGAGCGCGACGTAGCCGCGAGGCCACCAGGCGAGGCCGGCAGAACCGCGCAGTAAATACGGGCTGTCGAGCATGTCGCTTGTCGTCACTCGTCAAAGCAGCAGTGGGAAGTGAGCCCACAGGTGACATGGGACGCGGCCACACCAGAGAGGTAACGTCACCAAGGAAACCACACTGTCCCCAGCAACTCCCGGTGGCGTGGTTGTGACGTGATCACCACAACACTCGGACACTGGGGAGGAGGCGTGGGCCAGCCGACGCGGGCGGAGCCCAGCGGGAGGGGAGGGCTGACGCTCCAGGCCCCTGATGTTAGAGCTGAGAAGTCGGGTACTGCTGTGTTTAAACACGCCCCAAAGCCGCGTGCGCTCAGTCATCGCAGCGGGACCAAGAAGAGAGATCGGATTGTGGCGTTAGAAGGCGGGCTTTCGGGAAGAGGTGCATGGCTGGGTGACCAGGACGGGGCCTGACGGCTGAGTTGGTGAGTTTGCAGAGAAGGAATGAGGCAGCCAGGCCACGGGGGTACAGCCGCTCTGCTCCGCTCGAGGCCCTGTCCCTACCACACAGGAGCTCACCACAGTGGGGCCTCGGGCCTCAAACTACCCAGTCTCGGGCACTCCGCAGGCAGGGCAGCCGCACACAGGACCGCCTCGGGCTGGCAGGG